GGGCGGGGCCTCTAGTGGGGCGGGGCCTGCAGAACCCCGCCCCGCCGGCACCCTCAGCCCGGGTAGCCAGTCGCCAGCGCGGCCCAGAGCCCCTGGCTGCCTCGGGCTGGGGTCCTGGGCGGAAGGGAGGCCTCCCCTCGAAACCTGCCCTGACGCTCCTACCCGTGTGTGCAGATGGCGCCACGCCCGGCCCGCCAAGGCGCCGGGGCCCCATCGCCCGGTCCCTGTGTGCTTTCCTTGGGGCTGCGCACTTGAGGGCTCCCTGTTGGGTGGCCCGATGAATGAATGAGTGATCATCTTATCACATGGCCTTCGAGGGGGCTTCAGCACGGGCAGTGTGAGCTACACAGGGCCCCCGGATTGTACAGAGTGTCTTGCTTGCAGGCCATTTCTGTTGTGCTTATTTCTCTTTCTGGCTGACTTGCAGTTTTAGTTCAGCGAGTCAGACTCACACCTTAGTTTAGGCTGTGTGCATGTGTGTGTGTGCGTGTGTGCATGCATGTGCGTCCACGCCAGGGACACACGCGTGGGGTGGGGACGGGGTCGTTGCCAGATGCAGGCAGCGTGAACAGCATCACAGACTCTGGCAGGGCTCCCCAAACAGGTTGCTCAAGGGCAGCTCTTCCTGTTGCTGCCTGTGAGGGGCACAGTGAGCCCTGCGTGATCCTGGGCAGTGCATGGACGGCATCCTCCTGGCTGGGCAGGTGCCTCTGGATTGATTGACAGTAGCTTTGACAGTGGTTAGTGCAGGGGCAGGTCAAGGCTGTAACCACTGTGGATGGGGCCTCTGGTCCTCATGGTCTGCCTTGTCAGCACACACTGGTGCATGTGGGTGACCATGGTCGTGTTTACTGTCCTCAGCGTGAAGAGTGCGCAGGCACCACGGGAGATGTGGAGGAAGTGGCTGAGAGCTACCATCCTGGGGGCCTGTGCCACGCTCGCTGCACTCCTGCTCTGGGACAGTCTGGGGGGCGATGATGGTGTCACTGAGATCCTGGCTTACCGCAGTGAGATCCTGCCCCGCTGGTTCATCGAGGTGCCCTGCTCCAAGGACTATAACAGGCAACAAAGGTTCAAAGGTAGGCAGTGCCGCAGCGATCCAGGGACAAGCAGCAAGTTAACATGAAGTGCAGCGCGCTTAAAATGCATGTCTTTTGCTACAGTGAATCGGTGGGGATTGGGGTGAAAGGAGTGAGGGGTGACAGATGTCCTTTCCCCAACCCCAGGTTTGTTAGCCCACACCTGGGCTGGGCAGTGCAGGCATTTAAGGCCCTGCACACGGCAGGCCCGTTGGTCACCTTGGAGGACCTTGAAGGCCGTGGCCAGTGTTTCACTGAGGTGCCCCTCACTGTGGGCGCTGTCTGAAGGAGACGGTTTGCCTAGAGGGATGTAACAGAATTGGAAAGAAATGGATGAGAAAGTTGAAACCAGAAAAGGCATTGGCTGTGAGAGTGTCTTACAGCGTTGTCACTGCAGAAAATGTTGCAGCAGGGAGCGGCCACTATCAGAGGCCCTTCTCCCACCTGGGCACGTGTCCCATCCTGGAGCCCTTTGCTCTGAGAGGGCAGGGGAAGGGCGTGGTCAGCGATCTGGTTAAGACCTGCGGGGTTCAGCACCCTGGAGAGAGCGCGGGCCCCCGGTGGGGTGACGGTCTAGGCCACGTGAGACCCCGCGCCCTCCGGCCTTTTTCTGGCCACTGCACCTTCCCGCACGTTCCCCCTGCTCCGCGGATGCGGTCTCAGTTTGAAAAACCTAGCCTGAGCGACCGGGTTTTACAGGCAGAATTCAGTTTATTTTTAATTTGGAGCAATGCCTTGAACTTGAACCAAGAAGAGGCTGCCAAATCCTTCCACCAGGGCGCGCTGTTAAGACGCGCGCGAGGGGCTCTCCCTGCGGGGCGTGCGGGGCAGGGGCCGGGCTTCAGCCCGCTGCAGGTCAGGCAGGAGCCGGCTCTGTGGCCCGCCCTCCACCTTAGGTGGCTCTTCCCTCCAAAGCCCGTGCCCAAGAAAATATATTTCAGTGGTTGGAACTGAAGAAAAGTTCCTTCCTGCCCATTTAGTAACTCATCAATATTGAAAACAGTTGGAATGGGGGACAGGGGAGTTAGTGTTTAATGGGTATAGGGTATTGTCAGGAACCAGCCTGAAAGACGAACAAACCTGAGTTCGAGCGGTGGGAATGAAAGAGACAAACACAGTTACGGGATCCGGAGGGCTGCCCTCCAATGAGGTGCAAAGCCAAATGGTTCAATGCCTTTATTATAGAGTGAGTAACAAACAGTTAGTAATGAGGTGAGGGTGATACAGAATAGCTCCTTCAAGGCTGCATGAACACACTCTCAGAGTAAACACCCTGCCTCCTGCGTGAGCCCAGACCTTGGTAATTATCTTTATCTCGGCTCCTAACAGGAACTTGTGGGGAGGGTCGAGTCCTTGGCTCCAGGCCCTCAGGCTACGTGGACCATGTCCAGACACACAGCGGGCTCTCAACATCAAGGGTCATTGTGGGGAGGGTCCCTCAGGTGGTGTTGACCATGTCCAGACATGTCACCGGCTCCCAACAGGGTATCAGTTTGGGAAGATGACAGAGTTCTGAAGATGGTTGGGGTGATGGCTGCAGAACGTGAAAGCGCGCCCCAGGTAAAAGTGGTTAAAGCAGTAAGTTTTGTGTTATGTATATTTTACCAGAATAAAAAAATAGCTGGAGTGTATTTTAAAGCCTCTGGACCTGCCCTTCCTTATCGCCTCAGGCGAGAGAAGCGAGGAGAGGCTCTTCATGCTGGGGGGGCCTGCATCCCACAAAATCCCATGGTCCCTTGACCACCCGGGCGTGGCTCAGCAATTGAGCATCGACCTAGGATCCAGAAGATCGGCATTTGATTCCGGGTCAGGGCACATGCCCGGGTTGCAGGCTCAATCCTCAGTCGGGGGTGTGCAGGAGGCAGTCGATTAATGACTCTCCCTCATCACTGATGTTTCTGTCTCTCTCCCTCCCTCTTCCTTCCTCTCTCTGAAATCAATAAAGATATAGTTTAATAAAAGAAATCCCATTCAACCTGGGGAGGGCCACCCACAGGCTTTGTTGTTATTTATCATTGTTGGGTTGACCTCTCACTCTGGCTCCTCTGTCTCCAGGCTGCTCCCCTATCAAGTGTGGCCGGGGCATCACCGACGCTGTCATCACCAGGAATGAAGCCCAGTGGATGCGCAGGTACAACAGATCTGCGGGCTTCTGCCCCGAACAAGCAGGAATGTGGGGCTGGGGGTGAGAAGCAGAAAATTACTACTAAAAAGATGACTTAGAGAATTAATTTAGAATTTCATGAGAATTTCCTGTGTGCTCCCAAGACAAGGGTAGGCTTGTCTAATTTCCAGGAAGAAAGGTTGTTTGCCCTCTGTGAGGCAGTTGCTGACGGAACCTTCTGGAACCAGGCTCCCTCCAGCGGTTCTGACCAGTTCCGGTGGTCAGATGTGGGTGCTGCTCCATCAGCTCCTGGGGGCCCCAGCAGGCACCTGTGTAGAGGCAGGTGTTCGCCCCCAGCAGGTGATTGCTAGGTACTGGTTTCGTCTCCTCCAGAACTGGGTGGGGATTCACCCTTCAGTCACTAGCAGTGACTCAAACAGGACAGGAAATCTTACTTGGAAGTTGTTGGATTTTGTCTGGCTGAAGTTTTAAAAACAGGATCTTAAAGCTGAGATTTTCCAATGAGCTCTTCAGACACAAAATGTCTTTGGAAGCAAGTACCAAGTGGAGCAGAGTCTAGCCCTTGAGCTGTGGTTGATGTCTGCCACATGCCTGGCTGAGAGTCCCAATGGGAGATGCTCCCCATTCCCAGACAAGACTGTGGGGCTCCTGGCCTGGGGCACTGGTCTTAAGGGTTGACCCTCCCCCAGGCAGTTTCCTGGGTGTCTGCAAAGCGTCTGCCCAGTGCTGGAAGCTCCTGCCTCTTTGGTGATCAGATGGTCCTGTCAGGTCCAGCACAAACCACCACGGGGCCCAACTTCCTGAACTGGTGATTCCAGAGGCCGCCCCCCCAGCCTGTGGTGACCAGGACAGGGACCCATTGGGAGTACTTCAGCCCTTAAGCAAGGCAAATGGCCATGCTGCCCACTTCTCCCTGAACTGTGTCCTGTGTTTTCAACAAGATGATAAAATACTGCCGCTCACTCACTTAGCTTTGGAAGTTGAGTCCTGTGGTCTAAATATGTGCTTACATCATAGACATTAAACAATCTGTTAACACTGCATTAATCGTGGGATTGATATTTGCCTATATATATTTTAGATAAGACTATTAATAAGTGTGGCTTAAAATTATCTGTCCTACAGGATCGCAGAGAAGGGGCTCTCCCGGGGAGGATCCTATGGAGGGGTGAGTTGTATGTGATTCCTGCTTCAGCTTTCTCTTTACTTCTTTAACTTCCCCTCCCTCCAAGGGCAATGGAGGTGGCAATGGACATGCAGGGCCCTTGGGTGCCCCTGCACCCGTGAGGAATGGAGGGGCTTCGGGAAGTGGTGACCAAGGTGGCAATGGGGCTCCTCGCGCTCCCAGCCGGAGGCCCCAGACCCGGTGTGGGCACTGTCGTCCTCTGCGGCAGACTGCAGGGGCCAGCGGTCCACCCAGAGCCTGCGAATGGGGCCTTATTTGGGAGAAGGGTTTTTGTAGGCGTCATTAAGGGCCTGGAGATGAGAGCTTCCGGGGTCATCCGGGGGAGTCCCGGTGCCAAGGGCCAGTGTAAGGGGAAGGCAGGGGGAGACGCGAGACCGAACAGAAGCCTTGTGAGGACAGAGGCAGCGATGCAGCGAGGCGGCCATACCCGGGGCCCCCAGGGCCGCGGGGAGCTGCAGCCTGGAGCCTCCGGAGGGTTGCGGCCCACGACACCTTGAGCGCAGACTCCTGCCTCCGGAGCGCGGGGATAAGTTCCTGTTGTTCCAGGGCCCTGGCCTGGGGGCCTGGGAACAGCGGCCGCAGGGAGCCGAGTCCCGGAGGCGCAGCTCGTCCGCTCCGGGCGGCCTGGGGGGGTCGCAGCCAGCGTCTGCGTTAGCGCTAGACCTCCTGGCCTCGAGATCTCGTTTTCTTGAGATCTCGTTAGCTCGAGATCTCGTTTCTTGAGATCTCGTTGGTTGAGTTCCCGTGTGGTTTCCTGGCCGAGGGCCTCCGCCCAGCGCGCAGCTGCCCAGAGGTCGGAGGTCACGCGGCGACCCTGGCGCTGCTGCTCGTAGGAAGGTTCGCTCGCGGTGTGGCCAGGCCTTCCCGTCGCATCTGCGATTCCCTGCCCGGCTTTTACTCTGCAGCCTTGGGCTCGGGAGGTGAAGTGGCCCCTTTGGTTCGGTTCGGTTCAGTCAGGGAGGTTTCTGACACCTGTCGTGGGGACCCGTCTCCGCGCAGCCCGCGGGGAGGTTGTCCCGCAGCGAGTCACCCAGTTGGCGCCCTTAAGGGCAGCTGGCGTTTCTGAAGCCCGGGCTCGGCCCACTGGGCGGTCGCCTCCTCGGGGGAGGCAGACCTCGCACGGGGGGCAGACCTTCCGTGGGAGGTAGACTTCGCGGGGGGAGCAGACCTTCCGTGGGGCGCAGACTTTGCCAGGGGGGGAGGCAGACCTCCCGTTGGGGGCAGACCTGCCCTGTGCGGCGCTCCCGGGCCGTGCAGAGGACCCGCTGCAGCGGGTGGTGCTGGGCGCCCGGGCCGTTCCTTAGACAGTCACGACCCCGCAATCCAGGCCTGGCGTTGGCCCGAGAGAGTGACAGAGCCGGTACCACGGACACGCCCGCCTGCAGGTGAACGAGACAGACCAGGGGAGGGACAGCCGGTGCGCGGAGCCCGGGGGCGCAGGGTGGCTGTGCGCAGGGCAGGAGCCCACCAGAGTGCACCCTTAGGGCTCCGTCCACCGAAACGGGAGAACATCAGTCGATCTGTTAGGGCAGGAAGCACGTCAGGCCTGGAGGTGGGGTGGGTGGAGAGACAGGAGGGAGGGATTACCTAGGGGTGCAAAGAAATTAGGGTGACGGATGTGCTTGTTGTCTTGGTAGTAATGGTGGTTTCGTGGGTGTATAGCACCGTCAAAGCTGACCAGACTGTGCACTTTAAACAAGCAGATTGCTGTATGTTGGTTTCACATCAAAGCTGGGGGCAGGCGGGAGGAAGGGACTCATAATTCAGTGCATCACAGCGGCATGTGGGGGGTGGGCTGCTTTCAGAATTGGACCAGAGTTTGCTCTTTAGGCTGCAGAGAACAGGACCTGTGTGGTGCACACACCCTGGGCCTCACTTTCTTCAAACCCGGCCATGTCTCCCTGCCCCAGGGTGTGCTAGGCCAGGTCTTGGTCACTTGTGTTTCCTGTCAGCTGGTAACACTCCCGTCGCCACTGCTGCGCAGCCCTCACGCTCTGCTCTGCCACCGTCTTTTGCAGGCGTCCATCCTGGACTTTCACTCGGGCACCTTGTCTCTTGGGAGTAACTTTGTGAACCTGTACAGGTGAGAGTCCAAGGGGCAGTGATCCTAACGCCAGACATGAACTTGTGGCTCTGAGCACTTCTTAGCAGGGGACACCAAGAGGGGTTTGCATCAGAGCGGCTTCAAGTCTTGGGTAAACTGTGACATTTGCCACAGGGACGAGGGTCAGGCAAGACCAGAAGGTGTGGCCCTTCTCAGGGCAGCATCCGTGTTCTCCACACTTCAGGGAACAGTCTAGTGCTACATTGGGGCTTCTCAGGAAGCTGGGGCCTGCTCCAGGCTGAGGAACGGGGCTGAGGGAGAGTGGGAGAGGTGAGGCAGGCCAGCTCCCTGTGAGGTGTGTGAGCCATAGGGTCTGAGTGACTCTGATTATTCCTGGGGGCCAGGAGAAGCCTAGACTCTCCCAGCCTTGGAACCAGCACTCTCAGTCTGCTAGGACACCCTGACCTCCCACCCTCCCTCCCCTTTACCAGGCAGGTATCATTATAGAAACAGGTCAGCTCCAACCTGCAGGACCAGCTGGTGTTCAGGGACTGTGGGTTACCTGGAGTAAAGACTGAATTTAAAGGGAAAGTTAGTAAAATGTTTGATTTGTAATGTTTCTTATTTTTTCAGCTACTTTGGGGATAAAATTAAAAACGTCTTCTCAGAAGAGGACTTCCAGTTATATGGGTAAGGAGGAGCCGGGAGATCAGGTGTGGGTCGGAAGGGCCCAGGCTGGGAGTGGTGAGGGCAGAGCAGCCGCTGCCTCCCTGGTCCTCTTGCAGGCAGGGCTGGCATCCAGCCGAGTATCCTGGCCCAGCTACGGACCTTGAGCTGAAATACTTGGGCATCGGTTAGTAAGTGAGTCCAGCTAGACTGTGGCACTCACCAACGACCCAGTTAGGATCCAGGCCAAGAAGCAGCGGCCCTTGTGAGGAAGGTCACACAGCCATTCTCAGGTGGGCCCATTAGCTCTTGTAACTGTGCCAGGAGCAGCAGCCTGCCCCCCAGTTCCTGCAAAGGCTGTGCTGGTTACACATCACACCACACATGCCCAATGTCAGGTATCAGGCACACCCTCCTGCCCAGGCAGCTCCCCTACCTGGGGAGGTTCTTTATTAAACTTTTTATTTCGAGGTAATCAAAGCTCACAGTTATAAGACATAGCACAGGAGATCCTATGGACCCTGCACCCCGTTTCCCCTGACACCTGCACAGCTAGAGTCCATCGTTGCCTCCACCATTGTGGTCAGTGCCCTGGTTTTGCCTTATTTTGTTTGAGTGTGTGTGTTAGTTCTGTGCAATTTATATATATATATATATATTCTATTGATTGGGGGGGGGGAGAGAGAAACATCAATGATGAGAGAGTCGTCATTAATCGACTGCCTCCTGCACTCCCCCCCATTGGTAATTGAGCCTGCAGCCCGGGCATGTGCCCTGATTGGGAATCGATCGGTGATTTCCTGGATCCTAGGTCGATGCTCAACCACTGAGCCACGCCTGGCCGGGCTAGTTCTGTGCAATTCTATCACCCGCATAGGTCGTGTAAGGACCACTGCAGTCCCGGTACTGAATGTTTCTGTCACCACGAGGGCCCCTGTGTTCCCCTTTCACAGCCACAGCCTCCATCTCTAACCACCAGAGGCAGGAGGGTCATTCTTACCAGAGCCTCACTGCCTAGAAACAAGGCCCCTTTATCACCTTCCAGGGAAACAGCTGCAAGGGATGGTTCAAATGGGAATGGCTGATAACTGGTCCCACTCAATTACATGGCTCACTGGTTTCAGCTGCTGGCAGAAGGGTGTCCTGAGAGTCAGGGATGTCTGACCTGGGGCACGACTTCTAGGGGGAGGCAGGGTCCCACTCTGCGGACTGAGTGGCAGTTTCAGGGCCTCACGCACCTTGTGATCCCCTGTGACTAGTTTGCTGCTGGCCTAAGCAGTTTATTTTGCTCACTGTCTTTATCATTAAGTAGAAAGTGAATAGCTTGAAGGTAAATAAAGATTAGAATTAAGCCAGCCAAGTAGATGACATCCTATAAGTAGTTTTTACGACTTGACTAATAGATGTTGAGTACACACGTCATACCCTGTTGAAGGCAGAAGCATTTTGAATGTCATTGGTTCAACAGAAGTTGAACAACATCACTGACATTAAGATCAATGTTCACCCTGCCAGTGTGGCTCAGCTTTGTGAGCCTCGGCCAGTGCACCAAAGGGTCTCCGTTCAATTCCCAGTCAAGGGCATGTACCTGGGTTGCAGGTTTGATCCCCAGGTGCGTGTGGGAGGCAACCAATCGGTGTGTCTCTTTCACATCAGTGTTCCTCTCTCTCTTTCTCTCTCTCTCCTCCCTTCCACTCTAAAAAATCAATGGAAAAAATATCCTCAGGTGAGGATTAACCAAAAAAAAGAAAGGAAGGAAAAAAGATCAATGTTCTATTTACTGAGATGAGCCTGAGGGGGTCACTGGGAGCATCTGTTGCTCCCAGTTAGAGCTGTTGCCTAGGTGGGCACGCCCTTGAGCCAAAGGGCCAGCCAGTAGTTTGGAAATGTTAGGATGATTTATGCACTGGTGTGCTCAAGCCGTATCACTTGGGATGTGGCTTTAGGACCTTTGCACACGGCTGCACGTATGTGTCTTGGAGCCCAGCCCCCTGGATGTGCCCTGGAGGGGCCTGTGTCTCCTAGAGCCCTGCCCCTGACCACCAACCTGCGTAGCCCGGAGTCCAGGCCTGTATACGCTCCTTGGGAACAGGTGGACCATGTGCACAGGGATGTTCAGCTCCTGCCACTACTCCTGTCTGTCCCCAGGACACTGCCCCAGCCGGCCTGGTGCAGTGTCACCCCTGCAGGGGATTGGTCCTCAGGCTCCTGCTCTGCACGTGGTATCCTGTGGCACGTGGGTAGGATGTCCTGTGCATGTCCATCTCCCCACCTTCCCCCAGCCCACGTAGACCTTTGCGGCATGGAGGGACCCACGGAGAATTCTCTGCCTCAAGGCCACACCGCTCCAGGTGATGCGTGTGTCCTCCTGGCAGGGACGTGCGGCGTAAGCTCCAGCTTATGGTTACCCAGGCCTTCGGCATCAGCGCATCCTTACTGCACCTGACCAAGCCCACGTTCTTCTTGCGCATCAACACCACCAAGTCCCACACGGCCTACGACGAGTACTGGCACGCGCACGCGGACAAGGTGAGCCCCCGCACCTGTTCTTTACGATGTGCATTTTACCA